CCATGTGCAGAGAGTATTGGGAGGGGATTATGCCTTTCAGGCAGTATGCCTCCAGTGCAACCCTTGGGGATGGAGGGGAGGACTTTTGCTCTGCCCCTAAAACCACAGATGGTGCAAAGAAAGCCCAGTTTAGCCCTAGGCTACTTGTAAACGTGCAGAGCAGGTGATGGCTCAAAGCAACACAACAAAAGTCCCACTGAAGTCAGAATGCACATGTATGCACAAGCCTTCACAATGTGGGTACAGGTTGCTGTCACAGGGTGTTGATTCCCAGTCTCATCTGTGACTTCTTAGCTTCTTGCTGGCTGAGATTGGCCTTTGGCCACCTCAGCGAACATGTATTTCTATTAGCAGCCACTAGCCCAGCTGGGCACAGAGTGTCCAGGGGGTGGGGAGTGGTTATAGGAGACTGACAGGAAGTGGACTGGCTTCTGCAGCAGGTCTTAGGGTGGGAGCATTCTTAGGCAAGCAGCTGAGAGGAGGGGTGGGCACAAGCTGCCAAGAGCAGGAAAGTGCAATACTGGGCACAGCAGAGCCCAGCCCTCATTGATCCACAGCAGAAGCACATATTCTCCAGCTTATCTTGGCCACAGCTGACTTCACAGAAGCAGCTACCTTTTCTTTTTATAACCCCAGGTCACTGCAACACTGAAACTGAGAACCAGCTTATCTACCAAGTGAATGGTCCTGATAACAAGTATCCCAGAAAGCCTCAATTTACAGCCCTTTACGCTCTGAAACAGTAAGGGTGCATGCACAGTGTTGGGAGTCTTTTTTGTTCGTCATGGAAAAATTACTGGTTCTTCATGCAGTGTCTGGGAGGCTAGGAGCTGCATGAAGATCACTCAGAGACATGCAGTGATGCCCAAAAGGTAAAGTGAAGACCAGTCTTCTCTGCTCTGCATAGATTGCACATACATGCTGGGGGGGAATGGATTATTGCAATCTGGATCTACCATGTGTCCTGGAAAACTGATTTGTAATGGTCAGCTTGCACCCTAGAATGCACTGGGACATAGGGCAGAGTACTTCAGGTCTCCTTTAAGGCCTGGAGCTAGGGGAGTGTTGGAGTTGAAACAGAATTTTCCCTCTTTATGATCCTTGTCCTGCAGTCCTCTGACAGTGAAGACTAGGAAACCACAGCAGGTACACACGTTTCAGAAACTCCTTCTAAACCAAAACCCTTCAAAGGAAACTTAAAGTTACTGCCTGAGTTCAAACACAAGTTGTTTGTTTTAATGCAGAAATCACTGTGAAATTCTATGGCAGAAGCCCAGGTAAAAAAGATCACAATGTTGCATTCTGGCCTTAAATTTATTTTAAACAGAGTAAAAACTGGCTAAGTGATAGATTCCAAAAAGTTACCAAAAACCTGGAAACAGTCAATGGAGCTGTTTCTAGAGTGGGTCCCAATGGGATCTTTTCTTGAACTAGTCAGGACTGGATGTCTTTCTGAAAAATACACTGTGCTCTGCACGTTATGATTTTAACCTGCCTTCAGCAGGTCCCATAGGTCCCTAAATGAGGCTCTCAGGCCTATGCTGTGCAGAAAGTCAAAGCAGGCCCAAAGAGTCAAGATCTCTTTTAGCCTTGAAATCTATGACAATATACAAGCCTAAGCAAGTCAGGACCTGCTGCTGGAAAGCATTTCTAGCTGCGAAACCAGAGATGGCCAAATGAGACAAGCCACTCTCCTGCTATAGTCTTACATTGGTCACCTACAACTAAAATGTTTGCTGCAAATGCTGCAACAGTTTAGCTTAAAAACAGTCATTTTACCAACTGCCACTCAACCAGTTAAACCCTTCTAAAGGCATGTGGGACTGTGGGATGGGACTATTTGCTGAAGACAGGTTTAAAATCTTAACAACAAGACATTTGTAAGGAGTGTGCTGACTGCTGACTCATTTTAATCCATGTAGCCCACGCACTCAAGTGATAGCGCAGCACCCTTCCTCCTGTCATGCCATAATTCAATGGGGTTTTTCTCTCACTTTTTTTTAACAAAAGCAAGTTACCAAAAATGCTTGTCATGTGACTGTAATACTGTAGACCCAGTTTCATTTACTGTAACTGGATTGGCTTGAAAAACAAAGTTTCCAACAGAAGACGATCACCACCATTGCACTTAAATGGCTCCAATTAATAGTATAGGAAACAGTTCACCTTCATAAATCTGTATTTCCTTATTGCTACACTGCAGGCTTGCTCCCTCACTCCCTCTCTCTCTCAGTGGACAGCAATACACATATAGGAAGGCACAACACATTTAGATTATGGTCTTCCATCTCCATAGTTTGAAAAAGATGACAACATATGTCAGGAATATAGGACATGATCCAAACCTCACTGAAGTTGTCAGAAGGGAGTTTTTCCAGTGATGTCAGCAGACTGGATCAGACCCCTACTGAAGTAGATCCCTTACACATGCATGCATATACATAGGTTTGTGATCACTTTTAAATCACCCTTATGCTCAAAGAAAGGTTCCCAACAACAGAGGTTACACAGGGGACAACCCTCATTGAACGTACCATGAAACAGCAAACTTGAGCCCCTCTCTTGGCTTGTGCAATAACCCACATCAAACTGAGCTAAACTTTTGAACCTAATGACTGACTTCTTGATCAGTTTTCTTTACAGTTTTAACATTGTCAAGCTTTCTGTCTGTAACAAGCAACTACACACTGTACTTGAATTCAGTGCCTTACTACTAGGTGAAATACAAAAACTTACAGATCAAGGCATTTCTGTCAGGCATATATGGATGAAAAACACAGCAAAACAACTGCAGTCTGCTAACATTACTATGCACAGGATTTTGAGCAAGGCAGTTCAGTGTGCCCCAGTGGGGGCAACTTAGTTTAACTCAGGTTCTCATACATACTACTAACATATTACCAACGAAGAGGACAGAAACTTACTTACCAGTGTGCTGCTGGTTTTTCCCCCCATTTTCCTAAGAGGAAGGTGCCTATGGAGATAAGATATGATGTTTCTAGCTATTTTTCGTTTGAGTGTGGGCTAAAAAACTGAAAACTCCTAGCTTCACAGACATAATATCACTTATTTCCCTCCATTAAGCAAAGATGTCCAAAATGTTAGAGGAAAAAAAAACTCAGTCTTCATTCTCATTGGAACAAAATTGCTCATGCTGACTCACCAACCACTACTTCCTCTAGCTACATTCTCTTCATGCTTCTGAGTATGACTGGTCAATTTCTCAGGGTCTCTATCGCAACTTCAGCTCTTCCAGGAAGAATAGCCTTTAATGACACCATGGGTGGGAATTGTTTGGTACGTGCTTTGAAAATACCCTTCTGCCATTTCTTTTTCAGCAAAAGCCCAGAGATTTGCCTAGAAAGAAATAGTTTGCAATGAATGCATTTGGACACATCAGAAGCAACAGAATATGAATCTGTGTGGATTTTAACTTATTTTCTTCAACACATAGTTTGTCTACCTATGAACACAATGTTTAATCAAGATATGATTTAATGAACTGGCGTAATTAAGTTGGCTGAATAAAATTAAATCTGACAAGAAGTGATACCAGCTGCTCTTCACATGTATACTGTAGGATTTTAGTTTGCCAGTACCAGCAGGGTAATAAATATGACTTTTAGGCTAGGGACAGACATTACACATAAACTGGTTTAAGTGATCAGAAACTGGTTTAAATCTGTAACAGAACAGATGTTCAGTGCACATAAACCAGTTTGAAAATGGCTGAAACCGGTTTGAGATAAACCTGGTTGAATGTAGTATCAGACTTAACTGATTTGGGTCAAACCAGTTTACGAAATGTCTGTCCCAGACCCTAATGAATACTTTCTAGGCCTGACTGACTACCACAACACACTGGTTTACCCTGGTATAAAACTTCATGCTTCAGAACACACACCTCAGCGTAATGGCATTAGGAAGAATCTGTCCTTCATCCACAACTGCATACTAATGTTTTTTTTGCACTTTCTCTTACACAGAAGACACTGGCCAGTGTTAGAGACCAGAGACTTGGAGATCACCTGCCAATTCATGTCTGCCCAGGAAAGGTAGTGATAAATTAGACCTTCCATTTTCAGTTAACACGCATCCTTCTTTATATGTACTTCTAATGATGTTTATATATACGTATCTATCTCCAGTGCTAAGATATCTTACCATTCATTTTTCTTAAGAGATGTCTCAATTCAAAACTTTACAGGTTCTATTTAAACTATGTTATTGTAAAATATTCATGAAAAATACACTAAGATCTACCCATGGAAATAATTGGGCATAAGATGGAAATAAAGTAAAAGTACATTTCCCTATGGTTGAAAAAAAGATCATGAGTAGTATTAGACTTAAAGCAGCATCTGTCCAAGCTGATATCTCACGAGGCTTGTTTTGTCTAGAGGATGTACTGTATGAAATTAACAATTTACTGGAGAAAAGAAAACAAGGAATATCAAGCCGAGAACCATGACTAGCAAAATCCACATTCTGCAACAAAACAAAAGCCAGAGAGCAACTCTGAACACAGCTGCTAGGATTTTTACATTAAATAATGGGTAAAGGACAAGCTAGTTCTTTAAATCTAGTATAGGAAAAAAACACAGTAATCACAAACTACTGCACTTGATAATACTATGACACACACAGTTCAAATTGTTTTAGTAAGCAGCAGTTTTCACTTCAGTTATGTAGGTTTAGTGATTAGTATAAAATTAGAAAAGAAATTGGAAAGTGGGTAGAATATGGGACTCATTTGAACCAAAAGTTCAAGAACACATAAGCAGTTTCTGGGGGCAAGTTTAGGCTGACTCATTGTTTCTCATATTCAGGGACTGTTTCAGTGATTAATTTCACTGATTAAAACTTGCATCCTGGTTTCTCAAACTTAACACAAGCAAAAGTGTCTGGGCATGAGGTACTGGGATACTGTAAGCTAAAGCAAACCCAGAGTCACATTTTGGCTCATACTGGGCCCCCAGACTCAACTTTATTTTAATAGGTCTTGTTTCTTGCTTTCCTTCTTAACAGTATTCTTGGTCGTTTTTTTTTCAACGCTGGGTAGCACTGAGGAAATTAGAAGTCCCATAAAAATGCCCTTTTTGTCCAAGTGAAGAACATCTACACATACCAGCATTTCCTGAGCTGTTCAGTAAGAAGACAGAGTTTTGAATCTAAGGTAGGAACAAACAGATACTTAGTTTGTACTTCTGTTAACAGGGTCTGAGTAGCTGGAGAATCCTGGTGTAGACTAAGGCCTCCCTTTATATATGTGGGTAAGTGTTGCTCATACATATGAAGTTAAGCATGAGTATAAATAATTGCAGAGAAAATACCTTAAACTGAAAGGCAGAGCTCAGCCTAGGATGCAGGAGAAATGCTTTGGCCTCCTTTTACAGTTGTAGATGTATATTCCAGGCAGGGCAAGACACCTCTAACACAAAGGCAATGTCCTTGCCTTTCTCTGTCAAATGATACCTGCAAACAGGGTTAATGAAAACACAAGAACTTTAGTGCTGTGGGGTGAGTGTCTGAGCCAACCATGTAAATACAGGCATTCTGAACAGTGAGTGCATCTACACATGCGCTTTACTGCAGAGTAGACTAATTAGCTCACCAGTAAAGCATCACTGTCCACATAAGCATCAGTATTAGGGCGTGGTAAACTATTTAACTCTGCCATAAGACAGCACTATCTTCCAACAAAGTCATTAACTTTGCTGAAACATTCATGTAGACGACATAAGTGGCAGAAGGGGGGGCTAATGAGGCTTAGTCCCCCCAAATGCAGGGCAGCGGTAAGACCACAAGGAAACCCAAACAAGGGCTTCCAGCAGCTGCAGCAGGAGTGGGGTGGGGGGAGGGGCAGACACTGCCCAGCCGGCAGCACAGGACTGAGCCGCAAGCGGCTCATCTGGGGGGGACAGCTCCTGCTGCTGCACATACCCTGGGAGGCATGGGGGGCATGTACCCCTGATCTGTGCAGGGCAGGGTAGGCAGCCACTGCGTGCTGTGGCTGGAGCAGTGCTGGCTTCTTCCTTGCAGGGGGAGGGGGCGTGCTATGCTGGGTGTGGGTGGCAGTGGTGCTGG